ACTCTGCACACAGGACTCGCCACGACGGGGCCGTGTGCACTCTGCACACAGGACTCGCCACGACGGGGCCGTGTGCACTCTACACACAGGACTCACCACGACGGGGCCGTGTGCACTCTCAGCTCTGCACACAGGACTCGCCACTACAGGGCCGTGTGCACTCTACACACAGGACTCACCACGACAGGGCTGTGTGCACTCTGCACACAGGACTCGCCACTACAGGGCCGTGTGCACTCTACACACAGGACTCACCACGACAGGGCTGTGTGCACTCTGCACACAGGACTCACCACAATGGGGCCGTGTGCACTCTACACATAGGACTCACCACAATGGGGCCGTGTGCACTCTGCACACAGGACTCACCACGACGGGGCTGTGTGCACTCTGCACACAGGACTCACCACAATGGGGCCGTGTGCACTCTGCACACAGGACTCACCATGACGGGGCTGTGTGCACTCTACACACAGGACTCACCACAATGGGGCCATGTGCACTCTGCACACAGGACTCACCACAACGGGGCTGTGTGCACTCTGCACACAGGACTCACCACAATGGGGCCATGTGTACTCTACACACAGGACTTGCCACGACAGGGCCGTGTGCACTCTGCACATAGGACTCACCACAACGGGGCTGTGTGCACTCTACACACAGGACTCACCATGACGGGGCTGTGTGCACTCTGCACACAGGACTCGCCATGACGGGGCTGTGTGCACTCACAGAGCTGTGCACACAGGACTCGCCACGATGGGGCCATGTGTACTCTGCACACAGGATTTGCCACGACGGGGCCATGTGCACTCTCTGCCATGAACACGAGACTTTGGGGGGCACACTGCAGGAGGTCAAGGATGGGGTGGCACAGATGCTACTGTGGTGGGAAGTTGAGATTGAAGAGGCCCTTGGTGCCAGCAGCGCGGGCTGTGGGACCCCCAGTGTCCTCCTAGGGTCAGCCCCGCACAGTCGCAGGCCACCTCCTTGCCGCTGAAGTGGCGATGGCGGGTGCGCCCCCCTCCCGCCCGCCACGGTGCCCTTGCCTGCGTCTCGTGGCGTCCACAGCGTCTCCAGAGCGCGCTTCCCCGGCCTGCCCTTCGCACGTTCTCTGTGGCTCAGCACTGTGCTTCCTCTCCTCCAAACAGAAAACGTGCAGTCAGACCTGCTTCACAAGTACCAGAGCAAAGACGACGTGCTCATCCTGACCGTGCGCCTGGCCGTCATCGTCGCCGTCATCCTCACGGTGCCCGTGCTCTTCTTCACGGTGAGCCCTTCCTCTGGGAAGGAACGGCAGTGACGGGAGAAGGGGGCACCGCAGGGGACTTGCGGGTCGCGGCTGACAGCGACCAGGAGAGCCTGCTGTCGGTGCATACATGGTGGGTGTGCGTGGTAAGGCAGTCCCCCGCGGCCAGAACTGGGGCCCTGGGTGTGCACTCGCGAGGCTGCCAGGCCCGTCACCGTGCCGGGAGACGCGGGCCCCCGTGGAACCTCTCTTCTGCCTCCTGCAGGTCCGTTCGTCCTTATTTGAACTGGCGAAGAAGACGAAGTTTAATCTGTGTCGTCACGTCCTGGTGACCCTCGTCCTCCTGGTGGTTATCAACCTGCTGGTGATCTTCATCCCCTCCATGAAGGACATTTTTGGAGTCGTGGGTAGGGCTGTGTGGCTGCCCGTCCGCCTGCAGCGGCTGTTGACGGTTACGTCGGCGACGGTGCCCGACTCGCCTTTCCTTTCTTTTCCAGGTGTTACCTCTGCCAACATGCTCATCTTCATTCTTCCTTCGTCTCTTTATTTAAAAATCACAAGCCAGGATGAAGACAAAGGAACTCAAAGAATCTGGGTATGTCTCTGGCCAGCGTCTCTAACGTCCCTGGTTTGTTTCCGTTAGAATTCAGCAAGGATGCGGTCCCCTCGTGCCCTGTGGTGTGCCTCTCTGTCACCTGCAGCTGGAGTGCGCTGTGGCCCTCGTGCCTCCTTCCTTCTCTTTGCTGAGTCCCCGGCCAGAGTCCAGGCCAGCCCGGGGCATCTTGATGCTACACCCCCCCTCCCCCGGGATGCCACGGCCCAGGAGTTGGAGCCTCGGGAGTTCAGGTCCTGGGTTTAGTGCCGCGTCCGCCCGTGGCCCTCCCTGCCCACTTTAACTTAGTTTTTGACACCTGTCTCCTGTTTGGCTTCTGAGTTGCTCCTCCTCGTGTTTGAGCGTCTGCCTCCCAGCGGTGCACTCGGCTGGCAGGCGGCACACAGCAGCGTGACCCGGCTGCTCCCAAGGCCGGTCTCTCCATTGCCGTCTTAGTTTGCGAGGAGCCGTGAGATCCACAGGCACCGGCCAGGTGGATGCCCTCGGTGTAGGGAACTAGGAGACGAGGGAATGGCGGGTAGCGGGTGGCTCGGAGAGACTCGGTCATGGCGTCGTCTGCTCTCGCGGTCTGTTCTCTCGGTGTGAGGAAGTTCTCCCCGTGGGTCGGCAGGGCCAGGGGACAGGAAGGGAGAGGGAGAATTTGTTGCTGCCCTGGCACTAACCCTGCCTTTGTGTTGCTCCAGGCCGCGCTCTTCCTGGGGCTGGGCGTGCTCTTCTCCCTGGTCAGCATCCCCTTGGTCATCTACGACTGGGCCTACTCGTCGGGCAGTGATGAGGGCCACTGACCCCCTGAGGAGGAAGCGCTCCCGTCTGCTGCTCATCCAGTCCCCACACATCTGCCACCCTCCTCACCTCTTTTGCAAGTTTACAGAAGCAGAGAGAGTCGTACAAGACCCTTAAAACGGAACAGCACTCGGGTTGCCACGCAGAGACCTGTTTCTGTAAAGGTTCACATCCCTCCTTAGAGAAGAATCTTGAAGTGTATATTTTGCTTTCCAGGAAAAAAAAATTGGTTTCATAAATAATTTGCCTATTTTGGTTAGCATAGCACACAGGGATCATCCTGGGAGGGTCACGGGGCACATGGGCACCATGGGGGCAGCTCCGGGGACCTGGCATCCCGGGCAGGGGCCAGCCGCTACCACGGCCCACACCGTGCAGGGATGGTCGCTGGGCAGGCGTGAGGGCAGGGACTGGGCTTGGCGTGTCGAGCAGATCAGCCGCCCTGGGCCGCTCCAGCGAATGCAGCTTTGTTGCCTTCCTGGCAGCCTGTGTCCACTTGCTCGGGTCTGCTCGTGGCACCTGCTGTCCCTGAGCAGAGAGCCTCACGCACGCTGTCCTGTGCAGGGCCCTGTCCCCAGGCTGAGCCGGCGGCAGCTCCTCGTGTCCACCAGCTTTTTGCACTGAATAGTGGACCTAAGGATGGTCAAGGGCCAGCAGCTCCTGCTTTGTGTTGGGTACTTGAGGAATCGGCAAGAGACTTGTTTTCTACCTAAACATCTGGGTGTTGACAAACACGAGATTTTATACCTTCACTAAGCCTCACTCCTACTTCTCCGTCAGCGCCATCCAGAGTCTAGAATCCTCCGAGAGGAGCTGTGACGGGTGTTGTCCTTCCTCCCCGTGGGGCCTGAACCTGTGCCATCCCCTCTTCCTTCCCCCCAGCCCGGGGCTGGGCCACGACCGCCCCCAACCCCGGGACCTTCATGGGAGGACAGTGGCCTTGCCCTCTTACTGCAGGGAAACCACCGAGAGACTGAAAGAGGAGAGGGTTTCGGGCTGGGCAGCCGGAGAGGAGTGGAGGCCACAAAGGCAGCCCAGGGCCTCACCCCCGTGACCGGCCATCCACGTCTCACACCGGGAGAAGCACACGCTCCGTGAGCTGCTCCCGTGACGCGGGACTGGTGTATCTTCTGGGTTCCGACTGAGGTGTCCACGCCCCCTGTCCAGAAATGACAGCTGGCGGAGCATCCCGCAAGCCCCCAGGGGCCTGCACACCACCGAGGCAGGAAGTGTCGTTGGAGAAGGCAGCCTCGGGCACCCGTCCCGCACCACCTGGTGGCCGCAGAACTGCGTCCACCTTGGCGAGCCTCCGGGCTGAGCCACAAAGGCCTGACCTGGTCAGGCCACTGCCCCTTCTGCACAGACGGCTTCCCGTGAGCGGCGCGAGACCCCGGCGGCCTGTGGGATGGGATGACCCCGCGTTAGGAGCGAACTACATCGTGCTGCTCCCCGTTGCCTCTGTGTGCAGCGACTCCCCGCGCCCTCAGAGTTGGCCTAGAAAATTGGGGTGTGCGAGGATGTGTTTCAATGCTGGCTTCTGTGCCCAAGCCGCCGGCTGTCCCAGTTCAAGACCAGCTCCTGCAGAGGAGGCACGCTGCTGGGGCCGTCTGCTGCCACACGTCTTCACCGTCGCCTTCCCGTGTCTCCGCGTTTGTTACTGTCGTGTCAGGGTCGCCGTTCAGTCTCGTCACTTTCGTGGGACCTCCTGTCCCTCTTGACTCCCGGTGGACATGGATGGTCGCTGCTGAATGAGTGGACTGGAGGGTGCTGTGAGCCCTGACTGAGTGTTGCTGCCTGGGAGTCGGTCTGCAATTCAAGGAGAGCGTGTTCCGAAACCCCTGGGCCTTCCCTTCAGCAAGCGGGCTGTGTGGTGCCCCCAGGGCGGCGAGAGAAGCACCCCACCCCGAGTTCAGCCAAGCTGAGGCTGCACAGAACCCACCGCCTGAGGTCCTGCTGACTGCATTGTGGCCCACTGTTGGCAGGATCGGGTGGGGCTCAGGCGGGAGAGGCCGGCTGAGAGCCCGGAGGTAGGCTGTGGGGTGGGAGTGGGGCAGTGAGCTTCCAGGACGCTGCTCGCCTCCGAGGCCCCGGGCCTGACCGTCCTGCTCTGCCAGGGCATCACCGGCGAGCACTGCTGGTGGAGTCGGTGCTGTGGCCATGGTTTGCTGCCCGGATCAGGTGGGGCGCGAGAGCTGCCTGCCCGCTTTCTTTCATACACACCCAGCCCTGCTGGCACTCGGGGCGCCCGTGGTGTGGAGCGCACTGCAGCCACCCGAGGGCTGACTCGTTCCAGAGCTGGACTTGGGCCCCTAAGCCCCTGCGTGGCCTGGGGACTGCTGGAAAGCAGACCCCAGGCCCTACCCAGACACTGTGAAACCAGAGAGCCCCAGGCAGGGAGCCTGCAGAGACCCCCATGCCCCTCATGCCCCCAGTCCGAGAGCATCGGCTATTATCCATTGTCCCCTCGGCCCTGTCTCAGAAGATGGTTCCCAGGGCGGGGAGGCCAGCACAGCTGCCCAGCTGCCACACCCAGCAGGAGCATGTGTGTGGGCAGGTGTGCCCTGCCTCACTCAGGCCTTATTCTGGGCTGAGGCACAGTCACACCTCTGTGTGGGACATCCCGGGCAGACCCTCTACATGTGGCCGTCCAGGAGCTGCTGAGGCCGAGCGCAGGCCAGCCTCTGTTCTGAGTGCCGCCGGCTCGCCTGGCCACTTGTGTCCTCTTCTGGGAGTGGATTCTTGGCCCAGGCATCCACACTGGAAGCAGAGCCCGATCCACTCCACAGGGCCGGGGCTGGATGATGGGACGGGGTCCTGGACAGTCTGCCTCAGCTCCTCACACGTATGCAGTGGCTCAGGGCTTGAAAACTGCAGTCCACAGCCATGGGCAAGGCCAGCAGGAGCCAGTGGCACCATGTGGCTGCAGCCCAGGGCTGGTGGCCCTTCAGCCACAACACTTCCTGCTTCTGAAGTTGGGCAAGTCCTGTGTGGTGGTGGGAGGCTTGCAGGTGCCCAGGGCGTGTCGTGGCCGGCAGCTGAGAAACAGTTCCTCAAGGTACAGTCTCCCCTGTGGGGCTGCCCTGAGGAGGGGTGTGAAACGGGCCCATTCAGGCTCGAGTCTCTGTCTTTCAAGTGAATCCGTGCAGCCAAGGCCTCTGTGGGGGCCTGTGTGTGACTGCACAGCCACTGAGAGAGGAGACTGCTCCACACAGAACTGGAATCACTCGCGTCCGCGTAGGAAGCATCAACACCTTCACAGACATTCGTGGTTCGCTTTGGGAAAGAGAAAAATTAATGTTCCCTCCCAGGTCACACAGCCTCTCGGTGTAAATGTGAAGCCTAAAACCTTACTTCTTGTTTAGAAAAAGCAGTGTCTCAGAAGTAGATGCGTTGAGTTCTTAGGCCGGTATTAGATCAACTATTTAAGACATAGTCTCCGAGCTGTAGATAAGGAGTCTTGGGCACGGCTCCTTGTCACGTAGCGACGGACAGGCCCCAGTGACAACGTGCTTCTCCATCGTCCCCTTTCACTGTCGCTTCCCACCGATGCCACCCACAGTATTTATGAGAACAGAAGCTGGGGGGAGAACGTGGCTGTTCTTCAGAATTGAACTGCAGGGCCCAAACTTGGGGTCTGCGAGCGGGAAACCCGAATGTTAACTATGAGCACAAATCGGAAGCAGAGGACACAAAGCTGTTAACTCACAGAGCTTTGGGGTCCTGCACGATTGCCTTTGTTTTGGCGTTGGCACTGACACGGGCTGTCTCGCGTGGCGTGAACCTCGATGTTTGCTTCGGAAGCCACTGTCCGCAGCCCAGGTCAGGAAACAGCACCTGTGTCACTGATGTAAACACCTTGCGAGTGGATTTCAGGTGGGTGATGTCAGTCCCAGGTCACAAACTTTGTATTCATAGTTAATCAAATAGGGTTGGGTTTTTCAGGGTGCGGTGTAAATAAATGTAAGAAGTTCTGTTCTATACCTGCTCTGTTAATGTAGTTTTTAAACATTAAAATGTGAACCAAAAATACTTGCAGATCTTGTGTGGCTTCTCAGGGCACGTCAGTGCTTGCGTCTCTCGAATCACACCTGCTGGGGTGCCGCAGCCAGCCGCTCCTGGTAGGAGCCCACCTGCTCTGAACAGCTGGACTCCTCCCTTCCTTGTGACCACACTGGATGAATGTATTTTTTAAATTGATTGATTGATTGATTTGAAAGTGACGAAGGAGAGAGCTCTTCCATCGGCTGGTTCACTCCTCAGGTGCCTGCGACAGCCAGGGTTGGGTGAGGCCAAAACCAGGAATCCATCTGTGTCTCCCGCGTGGGTGGCAGGGGCCAAGGCACTGGGGTCATCTGCTGCTGCTTCCCGGGTGCGTTTAGGGAGCTGGATGGGAAGTGGAGCAGCCGGGACCAGAACCAGCACCCTGGTTTGGGATGCAGGTGTTGTGAGCAGCTCACCCCACTGCGCCACAGCACCAGGCCCGCCTGTGTCATTATCCCGTGTGCTGGGGAGGGCTGCAGGCTTCCTGTGCCCACACTGCAGCCACCTGGCCGACAGAAACTCCCTCAACACCCCCACGTCTCCAGGGACTACTGGGGGAAGCGGACGCAGCCGTGCCTCTGTCGGCGAGGTCTTACCAGGCAGCAAGAAGGTCAGGTCTGATCCCCAGGTTCTCCTGTGGACAGGGTCAGTGCAGGTGTAACCGAGTGGGGGGCCCGCCCCGTCACTCCCGGCACCTCCTGCGCACGTGGGTCCAGGGGCACAGCATCGAGCGGCACGGTCCACGCTGGCCTTGGCAGGAGTGCAGGTGCCATTCCATCTTTACCCACCGCCTGCTCCACTTGCTGACGGATCAGCAGCCCACGGGCCAAGGCTGGGAGTAATCAGCACCGACGTGCAGGGGCACAAGCCCCGGCCGTCACGGGCTCCCGAGAGCACTGTGGGGCTCCTGCTGCTGCTGGCGCTGCCCTCCGCCCTGGCTCACCCACAGCCATCGGGGAAGGGGCGTTTGCCCCCATGGGGTAACGGGCTGGGTGATAACTGTACCACGTGGAGGCACGTCTGCTCACCTTGCAGATTCGGTTAGGACCAGCCATGGGGAGGATGAATACGGTATACCTGGTGTTAGCTTGCACCTGTTCTAGATGAACCCGCTCCTCTCTGGCGGGGTCCTCCTCATGCCCCTCCGCAAGACCATAAAGACCTGATTCTTCCTGGTGGCGGCTGGTGTGCGCGGTGCAGCAGGAAGTGGCAGTGACCCAGAGGCTTCCTCGGGCTTGCTTTGCAAATGCAGACCCGTGCAGGGCTGAGCCCCTCCGGAGCTCCAGGGTTGCACCGTGAAGGAAAGCTCCCTGTTATTCCCTAGCTCAGGGCCAGGAGACGCCTCACTCCCCACCTGCACCGCCTCCCCTGAGCTCCCTGGGATCCGGTGAGGCTCCCGGACTGGGCGAAGTGTCCTTTCTTATCACCACTACTAGGCGACAGGTTACAGCCCTGTGTGGCTCCAGGAGTACAAACAACCTTTGTTCGCTTTGACACACCTGTGAAGTGACCAACAGGAAGGCCTGGTCACACAGCCAGTGCTGTCCAGGTCCATGCTGGGGCAGGAACCTGTGCCGCAACCGCACTGCTGCACAAGCCGGTAGGGACCCGGGCTCGGTTCTTAGGTCACGGGTGGGGGCGCGTTCAGCGAGGAGCAGGAGAGAGGCTTCCTTCATTTCTCGGGACAGAAGCTGCCCCCGGGACTGCCGGCCCCCGAGGGCTGAAGAAGGCGGAGGAGCGGCCCCGCAGACATTGTCTCCTTTCCTCGCCAGATCCTTCTGCCCCTTGTGATGTTGCTCTGCCAAACGGCTCAGCACCCATGGTGCTTGCATGAAGCCGTCAGCTTCTGGGCCAGAGTCTTGCAGGCTGTTGGCACACTGCCATGCCTGGAGCCGCAGACTGGGCCCAATCTCGCCAGCTCCAGGCTTGGTGGTGGTGACAGGTGACAGCACGTGGCCCAGGCCCTGTCCCCAGGAGCCCGGAACCATCTCCCCTCGCTCAGGCCCTAGGTGTGGGCCCAACGTTTATGGCAGCGCCTTAGGAAGCTTCTGGAGGTGGGACCACTCGGCGAGGAGCTGCTTGCCCACAGCCAAAGCATCCTTGGCTCTGTCATCGGTGGCCGCCCGCTGAGGGTCGCCGGGGGATCCTTGGCACCAGTTTCAAGACCTTCCCACTTTCCTGTGGCGCTCTGGGTGTCTGCAGCACCCATAGTTCATGTGTTGCCATGAGGGAGACCTGTCTCGGTATGAAACACGCAGTCGCGAAGGAAGTCATTGATGGGTGAATATTTCTAAACTCTGCGACGCAGGAAGGTGTTAAAGTGCAAAGCTCCAAAAACTCACATGGGGGACGAAGCAAGCGCTGAACCCACTGCACCACACCTGACTTCCGTGCCATCAGTTCTGGCTCCACGAGTCCTCCTGATCCACAAGAACTGAGAGGCACGCAAGAGCCGTGTGGCCAGAGCCTCCCCGTCGCTTCTGCGCCCGTCCCGTGGCTGGTCCTGAGTCCCTCCAGCCATTTCTTCAGCTCCTTCCCAGCCCTTGTAGCCTTCGCCAGCCAAACCCAGCCCTAAATCTGTGACACATCCTTGGTGGGAAAGCTCATCTACGAAGACGAGTGCTACCATTCCTATTTTTGAAAACAGTCTGAAAGTCAAACAGTGACGTCAGAGCAGGGCAGCCCGTGGCCGCTCACCGGAGGCCTTCTCTCGCCTGCACACTGGGTGCCACGTCCCCCCAGGGGACGGCTCCTCTCAGCGCCTTCCTGCCGGGCTGCGCAGCTGCTGCACGTCTCACACGTCACCTCTCATACCTGAGGCGAGGGCTGATTCCCGTGGCTGCCAACGTCCCCCGCGGAAGGCGAGAGTTAGGTCTGCCACCCGTTCTGCTGTCAGAGACGCCTCTGTCTTCTGACCGTGCCCTTCTTCCTGATGGTCGTCCAGAGTGGGGAGCCACACTCGGAAGTGTCGCCTTGTTGGATTCTCGCCCATGAGGCCCCTGGAGCGTCTCTTCTCCGTCCTCCTGGGTCACATCCAGGTCTCAGCCACTCTGCGTCCACACCTGTGCATCTGCCTGTGGCTGGAGGAGCTTCAAGTTTATAACCTGGAGCCGCAGCAGGGCCCTGCAGCAGTGGGACCACGCACTCAGCGTCACTCCTCCTTCCAGACCCTGAACTCACCCCTCCCTCAGCCCCAACAGAGGACCCCATTTGCTTCCTCACTGAGCGACAGGAGCAGCCAGAAAAGAACCTTCCAGACTGCATCTCTCCCGCCCCACACGCTCCACTGCTGCCGTCTGGGCGCCTGCACTGCTGGCCTCTGTTGCTGGGGATGGCATTGCAGCCCGTGCTCTGTCCTGGGGCCTGGCCCCACCCTCTTCCCCTCTCTTCTTTGCATCTCTCCCGATTCGCCACTGTCCCGTTTCTGCTCCTTTCCGCTGGTAGCAAGATTCCTGTGCTTAGTGTCTGCAACTCCACCCATGCACCTGAGCCCACCCCAGCCGGGTTTCACCCTCTCCTTCCAGGGGAACCGGCCGTGCCTTCCGTGCTGTTCGTTAGGAAGGCCGGCCTCACACGGCTGCGTCCCTCCTGCTCCTGGCCGCCTCTGCCCGCCTTGTCTGCCGCTGGCTGCTCTCCACGCGTCCTCCCAGTGCTCACACTCTGAACCCTCTTGACTACATCTCGATAACCGTAAGCAGCCGGCCCATGCCTGTAACTAAAGCTACACGTAACCATTTTCCCACGTTTATGTCTCTCTGGAGAGCTGCGCTCACGTGCCCAAGTGCCTACCCGACACCCCCACGGGGAGCTCTGACGCTTCCGGAACGAGCGTCTCCATCTCCCTGACCCCTGGACTTGCTGCTTCCACAGCCCCCTTACACGCACCTGACTCTCATTTTTAAAAAATAGTTATTTATTTATTTATTTATTTGAAAGGCAGAGTCAGAGACAGTGGGAGACATAGAGAGAGAAATAGAGAGATCTATTTACTGGTCCACTCCTCAAATGGCTGCTGTGGCCAAAGGTGGGCAGGCTGAATCCAGGAGCCTGGAACTCCATCCGGTCTCCCACGTGGGTGGGAGGGACCCAGGCATTTCTGCTGCTGCTTTCCCAGGTGCACCAGCAGGGAGCTGGATGGGAAGCGGAGCAGCCGGGACCGAACCAGCGCGGGATGCAGGTGTCTTAGGCAGCTTAATCCTCTGCACCACAGCACCGGCTCCTGCTCTGTCTTCCTTGCACAGAATGCTCTGCCTTCACGGTCTGTGCTTCTGGTTGTCCCTCTGCCCTCGTGGATCTGCACTGTACAAGGGAGGGACCCTTGTGCTCACTTCACTGCTATGTCCAGGGAGCAGTGGGGAGACACGGCAGGCACACACCTGCTGCCGAATGAAGGCAGTGACTTCGCGGTAAATCTCACTGGGCGTTCACAGCCTGCTTACCTCAGGACAGCTGGGGCCAATGGCCAGCTCAGAACTCGGACTCCTATCAGGGGACTTGGGCGGGAGAATCTTCAAGGCAGAGGCAGGTGCAGTGAGAGGGGTGAATGAGGCCATGCCCCATCTCAGCAGAGTAAGGCCCAGCTAGGAGGCCCCTGGTCTGAGCGAGTGCGCTGGGAGGATCCCACAGGGTCCCTGATGTGGCTGAAGAGGCCTCTGCTTTGATGACCTGGTCCCTGGCACAGATGTGCAGAGACCGTGGCCAGGTGTGTGTGTGTGTGTGCGCGCGCGTGTGTGTGTGTGTGTGTGTGTGTAGGATGTCGCTCATACCCTCCAGAGAGCAAGAGGCGGCGTCCTGGCCCCCACAGACCCAGCCCTCTCCTCGTGCAGCTGGCGAGTGCCAGCACAGCCGGGGGGCTCTGTCTGAGCTGGATGCTGGTGTCCAGCTGCGAGCCTGGTGCTTGGCCTTCCTTCAGCCTTCACACCTGTTCCCTCTTCTGCGTCTCCTTCTTACTTCACTGTGCAAACATCCTGTCGAGGAGGGCCTGCAGA